ATTATTCGGAACCTCAAATTAATACCCATAATACATAAATTACAATGATTGACGCGAACAAACGCACGTTTGAATAATACTGATAAATTATCAAATCAAAGATTATATATTTATACAGACGTATATCAAGATAAAAGACGAATCTCCGGGTATGGAGAGATATTACTAGAAACGAAAAAAAATGGTGATCTCTTAGCCCTGAAGGTAGTTTAAAAATGTTTCACTATACTATTATGACAAACATACTTCCTTATCGTGTAGGATTTCATGACATTTTATATTTTAACTATAGGTACACTCGCGAGGACTGGGTCTTTTTAACAAAAAATATTACACATTTGATAYTATAACAAATTCATTACGATATAGTAACTGATAATATTCAATTAAAATGAACTAAAGTATAGAAATTCGATTAATAAATTGTTAAATTCAAAATCTGCATTGGACATTGGCAAACCACATCAGTCGTCTTAAATGCTCATTAGCCATATAGTATTAATGATGGCGTGTGGGATGATAAAAGGACCATAGGATGAGATGAACGAGAAGAAATTTTAAAGCWAATTCGAGATAGAAAGAAGATGAATATTGATATCATTGGTTAATAAGCCCGCAAGGAATCAAATACCTGTAATACGACGACTTTTGGCTTAAAAAGGGTAAACCAAAATGAGTAGCACTCGGCCAATAGTTATGAGGTGCACAAGAGGTATCTTAAGTATAAAGCCAAAATAGACATGTTATATAATCTTACCGTGATATGGTACAATTATTATTTATTATGCCACTGGATCACTGAATTTGAGGGTAAATTTGAGCTATTTTTAATTTTGAAGTCGTAAGGACGAGCAAATAAAATAAAATTGTGTAGAGTATTCTGCTGAAGTAAGCGCATAAAGTAAAATGCTATAATATTTCACGACTATTATTACGGTGARTAATGAATATATAATATATTTACCCGCCCTGTCAGCTGTCAAGCGGCGTCCATCACGCCATCGTTGTCTTCTACACCTGCAAACTAAACAATATAATAATAATATAATGTATTCTGGTATTTTTTTTCTCTTCGAACATTTCTGCAAATCTGTCCGCGTTTGTGCATCCCGTTACGTTCACTTTTTTTTCTTTTGCGATTTCTCCGACAACCGCGAATCAATGGACGAATGCCGCGTCAACGCGCTATATAGGCATAATATCAATGTACAATATAATATAATACCATACCATAATATATATATATATATATATTATAACCGGCAACAATAATGGAACGTATTCGTCATTCATGTCACTATCTCATTGCTCTTGTCGACGACTGCCGCATTTGTAGGTATCGCCCATTATTTATTATCATTTGACACACAAACGATTTTCGCCATATATATTGTATTGCGCTCACCTATCTCATCAGACTTCACTGCAGCGCAGGAATATCGATAAACCATAATCCGTCAGACACTTAACACCGCACTGGGAGAAKATCACGATCTATACCCACAACGCACATAATATAATATAATATACGTCACGTGAATCACTATACCTATATGACATTACTATAATATACCACCGTCACGGCCGCGTAATACGAAACGTGGTCGTTTATTTGACGCGAAAATTCGTTAGTCGCGATATATTGTTACACTGTTGTTGCAGCGTTTTGTCGGCGGTTTGGATCGGAGTTTGATACTATTTGGAGAAAAAAAAAACAATAAACGGCGTAGGTGTACCTACTTACGCATTTCGGAGACGCTATTTAAACAGGTAGGTACACACATAACGAACAAACGTCGCGGGACATGTAATAAAATTAAGTAGGTACCGTGCCGTAAAATAACTCTCAGCGGGACGTTTGGGGTTAGGCCCGCCAGACGCGCGCTTCATGTCGGTCTGGTGATGGTTATGAGGAGTCCGCGGGGGTGCGGTGGTGCACCTTCTGCAGCGGGGCATGTCGACATCGTAATTCATTAATCTACCTCAAAAAAAGTTTCTTGTACATGATAATAATCTATAGGCCTTATTCGGTCCGCGAAAAAAATAAATACCTTCTCGAGACAGTGGCGATAAATATGTTTGATTTATTAACGAGGTACTTTACTACATATACACCAACACCCGTACAGTCGTATGTACCTGTGTGAATGTTGAAGTTASCTAGGGTAGGGAAGGGAGAGACATCGGCTATGCCACTGCCAGTGTTTTCAAAACAAACATTTCCGATTTATTGTGTCATTATTATCATCGTGCTTAGAGTGATATTATAAGATTGTATATTATAATAACGATAATACGCAACAGGTATATAATATACGTAATACGTATAACATATTTTTGTGGTTTCGATGTCCTGCGTTCTATGTATTTTATAATGTTATACTCTCATCTGCCAGCGAAAACCCACGCCAGTGAATTATATCCACGCAATAAAACGTGTCGTCTGGAACACTTGATTTAAAAATTTTTAATACCTACCTGTAAAACGTGTGTTTTAAAACTCTCTCGATGGCCATAATGTGATATGTGCGGTGTAATATTATACGACTTTTTTATAAGTTATATAATAGATAAAATAAAAGATATTGTAACGTGTGAATCTTCCCGAATTGTACGCGTAACAAAAATAATATAACAAAGGCATCCCACCCACCCCCACTCAWCACACCATTGAAATATTCGTTAARAACGTTTATTACCTATTTGTAGATATACCTATACAGTTATACATAAAGTACTTACTTATAGATGTACCAATAATAAATAATAACACACGATAATGGATTAAACGAAAATAGTAAGTAGGCACGTGGTTTTTATGGTCAATAAATTAAAAGGTGTCGTGTGGTGAATATATACAATACTCGTAAATACACTTCCGTGTTTTATATGATCACTCAATAACAGTCTATTTGCAGTGTATTATTATTCCGTTAATAAATGATATTCAATGTGGGTACATTTATTAATATTATTGTACAATGTGTGCACAATAATTGTGCTAAGCACAAACATTTTATGCGAATGTTTCATAACATATTTTTAAATTTTTGAATAAATTGCGTTTTATCGCTTGCACACATTATCGTTTGTATAGCTGGCAGCTGCTGATGCTTTACTTATAATGATTCTCTTCTTTTAATTTTATCTCGATTGAATAGACACTGTATATAGTCACTATGACTATTTAATTTTAGATCCCAGAACTAACTGCAAACAATCAACTTTTTATATTGGATCCATATTATATCTCCTATATTAGTCATGCTTGTAGGTATATTATAATTATTATTAATAGGTGATTTATTTGTAAGAAGATTTTTTTTTTTTGTATAACAAATGGTAAATACACCTTATTATGACTAGTGTCTAGTATTGCGTTCTAATGGCGGAAATATTTTCAAAGATATTAATACATA